TTCAAAGGGACGGGAGCATGGGAAGCTCTGCACGAGGGAGAACTCAACTGGCACGAGTTTCAGTTATGCGAGGTGTCTCAAGCAAGAGAGACAACTTGAGTTAAAGATCGCCTTAACTATAATGGTGGTGATTGGTGTAGACAATTTCCCTCCCTCTGCGCGTGTGATGCTGCCAATTTAGCTGATGTATGCTTCCGTAGTTCGGACTATAAGAGGCTCTTAGGCAATCGTGTCTGGAACAGGAGGCAGTGTCACAGCACCATAGATAAGCTCACACGGGGGCAATCAGATGGGTAATGAACGCAACCGGATTGTAGTATGACCAAGTTTGGCCACAATATGTCAACGATCCTTACAAACGCAGCTACGTAGTGATCATGCAAATACTACTGGATATACTGAGCCGTAGCGCTGTATGCTTCGGCAGGCGCTTTGCACCTTAAACGTGAAACTGTCGCAGGACTGGATCGACACACCTCCGATTTCATCTATCACCGAATAACCACTGTAAGTTGTGATTCGGTTCACTTACCTTGGTAGTTGTGTCACGTCTGGAGGTCATATCACTGGGGAAGTTACGTCGCGTATCAGCAAGTCACCTGTGGCGTTCTAGAGGTTCAACAATCTATGGAGACGGCGGGATATTAGCTTGTCAGTGAAAGGTAGGGTGTGTAACGCCGTGAGAAGGCCTGTGTTACTGTATGGATCAGAGGCCTGGCCAGTTTACAATGAAGACATTAAACGCCTGGCCTTGTATGACCACCGGTGCTTGCGGAGTATTGGTCACATCTGTTAGGAACACCAGGTGAGCAATGCTGAGGTCCATCAGCTGGTTTTTGGCGAGGAGCGTTCTAGTGCCTCACTCAAGTGTTTACTGAATCTTAACTACTTTCGTTAACTAGGCCATGTCCTCCGTATGCCCGTTGACCGGCTCCCTCGGCGTGTATTATGCACCGTGGCTGCACCAAGTTGGGCGAAACCGCGAGGTGGTCAGTCCATGACAGAGCAATAAGCTTCCGGATGCTCAGTACTCGGAGTAGATGCATTTGACCTAGTAAGGAAAATGTGAACTGTAATCCATTCTGTGCATTCTTCAATGATTTTAACTCAGACAACCCTATATCAGCAGCCCAGAACAGCTCACAAGTCATAAGAATCGCTATAATCTGACTGTAAGTATGGAACTCAGTCGATGCCATTGGAGGGCGATCATCATCACCATTATGCACATCATTATACACTTCAGCTACTGTGCCACAATACATAAAAGAAAAAAAGAAAATAAATGCAACAGTTACACGCCAGCCTGGGCATCGTTCCGGAAACCTACCAGCCGGCTACTAGGCAAGAAAAATTATGTAAAATTATATAATGCTACGAAATGAGATCATTGGAGGGCGATGATTTTCTATGACTAGAAACGTGATGTAAAGCAGCACCAGAATGCTGAGCGACTGCGTGCAGCGTGTGATTGATGCACCTTCAAGAAGCACAGTGTTTGAGTGGGTTGCAGAATTCAAGCGTGGCAAGTGGTCCCTGGACGATGAGGCACTGTGTGGACGACCCGTGGAAGCTACCACATTGGACAACATTGCTGCTGTGCAAATGATGCTGGGGGAGGACGCGCGGGTGACTGTGGTACAAATGGGGAAATCCATCGGGATCAGTCCACACCACCCCACATGAGAACCTCGGTTTGCGCACGCTGGGTATCCCAACAGCTCAGTGAGGAGCACAAAGCAGTTCGGATGAATTAGTGCCGCACTATGCTTGCCAAGTTTGGTGGCGGACTTTCCAATTCTATTTGGGAGATCCTCAGTGGTGATGAGATCTAGGTGTACAGTATAGACCTAGAAACAAAGCAACGGTCTGCTCAGTGGACGGCCGTTGGTGGGGCGCCGCTTCAGAAATTCCGGCCTGAGCACAGTGTGGCCAGGCAGATGGTGGTTGTGCTCGTGGCCAAGACCGGTCATGTGGCTACTGTACCGCCCGTACGGCAACGCACTGTATGCCACATGTGTTGGAAGCTGTAGCCAGGTGTTGTGCAAGGATTAGAGCACGAAGGGCCTTGCGGCACCATGACAACACACCTGTATACAGGTCCATGTCGTCGTAGATTTTCTGGATAGAGAACGTATCCCGTAGATTAATCATCCACTCTACAGTTCAAACCTGGTTCCGTTTGAATTTTTGTGCACCCAAATGTCAGGCGCATGATGCGTGGAATCCACTACGGGTCTCTAGACTCTGTAGTGGAGGCCTTTAGTGAGCTCCTTGAAGGGCTGCCCGCATCGTCATGATCTAATTGTTGCTCCACATGGTCTGAGCGCACGGAACTGTGTAGGAACGCTGGTGGAGGGTATTTCTAGAAAATGTAATGGTTATTTTGTTGTAAAATATAAAACTTTTTGTGCAGCCGGAAACGCAGTGCTCTACCGTTGTAGAGACTTGGAGAAATTGACTGAGAGACTTATCCAGGTTTGTGCATGCTGTCTTCCTGGATGGCGGCCTCGAGACAGTCCACACCAATGGTTGAAGACCGTGTCGGACATGGCGCAGTCACGAAGTCAGTGGAATTCCTGCATTCGGTTTTTTGCATCTGGTTGGGAAATTTCGTTCCACTCTGACTACTTTAACGTACCTCCTTCTGGTTTCCACTTTCTTTACATTTTGTTTGCATTCAACTCCACTATCTTACTGTTGTTATTTATCGTTATTCTCACGGTGTGAGTCGTGGCAACTGGATCCGCCGCACTTCCGTGCTCGGACCATAGTTGTTCAACTGAATTGCACAAACTAATTATCAATCGCCATCGGAAACACCCCAGAAAAAGCAGTGGAAAGAGTGTGGATGCACGCCAGTTTCAAATATTACAAGTAAAAGACAATGTTAGATCTGCCTCTTTTTTGTGCGATCAGTTGAACTGATCTTGCCCCCTGCAAGTTGCCATCCAAACCAAAATCGGGTCAAATCCTCGAAGAAAAAGCGTCTTGGAAAGGCAGATACCAAAAATCGGCACGAAGAGTATTGAAAGTAGTAGACATCTACAGATCAACCTAAGAAGGTTCGCGTTTCAGAACAGCTAGGTCAGCTGTCCTGAAATGCAGTTTAATTCCGGTAGCAAATGAGAGATAAGTACGTGCATCATGTGGAGTACATAAATGTTCTGAAACGGCATGATGCTTCGGCTGTACATCATTGGCTTGGATCGTTTTATTATAGAAACAAGGAGATTCCCGCCCGGATATCCAGGCACTGACCCGAAAGGATGAGGTGTTTACCTTGTAGCCCAAAGATCATCGATTCGAGTCAGCGTGGGTGCGCGATCTCAAAATATCCCTTGCCGGAGCACGTGTTCGCATGGCAACAGAGGGTCTGTGTAACGTACCAGTGTACATCTCACATCCTGCTCTCCTTTCTGCCAATCCGAATCTCGAATATTCGCGCTGATTAATAGCATTACTTGGATGGAGATGCAATCGATGCGCTCAAAAAATTATATATATATATATATATATATATATATATATATATATATATATATATATAACACTTGTCCAATAAACATATGGCAGAGTGCCACAACACCTGAGAAAGAACAATAAAAAAGTAAGAATGGAAGCAAAGTTCCACTTATAGTGTAGGCATTGAGCTTCCGGGTTGCCCAGACCGAGGAAGAGGGTTGACTTAAGGGACCCCACCCCGAGCCTTTGGTCTAAAGACCTGAACAGCAAAGCAGCGGGGTGCTCAAAAAATAAACGACTCATTGTATGTGATCACTAGTGTCCAAAGTTTATTTTCAATTTCGAAGTGAGTGAATAACATGGAATTTCACCAGCACATTGGAATATCACTTCCCTACTGTCAAAGGGTGTTAACTCCTGTTACTGCATGCTGCTAAATCACCTATTTCAATACGCTGGTTTGACAGGATTATGCGTATCTCTAACTTGTCTCGGCGTCAGCCCAACAGGATACACAAAAAGTACTCGAGCAACTGATTGAGCAGCTGGCGAGTCGCGCCCCGCGATAGAAATCGTCGGTTTTGGAGAAAAATGTGTTTACTTTGAGTTAGAGCCAGAAAATCTACTGCTATTATGCACTACGGTCCTGATACAACTGAAAGTGCTTGACAGGTAACGCATTCTGCATTCTACACGTTAGTACCTCATTCCCAAAAATATGTGCGTCCGTGAAAATTGATAGGTTCCCCGTAGGCACAGCCTCGGGAACACCAGAGATATACACCACTCTACGATTATGATTTATTTCATCATTAGACACCTTAGTTAGAGGTAAAAAAAACCTCAGCTAATGTGCCGCAACATACAAGAAAAAAACAAGAGGTGTACGCCCGCCGAGCTAACAGTAACGGATAGGTATTGTTCCAGAAAGCGACCAGCCGGCTACTATGCAGCAAAAAATAATTAATTAGGCAAAATTTTTATTATGCTAAGAAATGAGATGGCGATTGGAGAGGGAGGCTAAGAGTCGTGGGGAGGGACAAAGAAACTCACAACATGTACGCCCATTGAGGTAGGCCCCTAGCCATGCCAGCAAGCGCATGCAGCCAAGTGTTCATCGTCCTTCGATCCCCAACTAGGGACCGAAGGCATGAATACTGTTGCATTAACTCTCCTGCTTCAGACTGAGAGATATACAAACTAACGGGCGCACGATCTTCAGCCTGTTTCACAGACTACATGGTCTGTCGGAATTGGAAGCTCGAAATCGCGACCGTGACTTTGCGAGGCGAAGGCTGAAACCGTAAGGCCAAGACGCTCAAGCAGACGGCAGTATGTGGCCGGAAACTCGCACTGCTCAACTGGTATATACACAAAAAATCAGGAATGGACGTAACATAAAAATAAGATCAATGTAATAAGGTTGATGTGGCAATTGTTTCAATCAAACCAATTGGTGAACAGGTACTAGAGCTCGTCAATGTGCTTCGTCAGGATGAGAAAACTCCGAATGGAGTAAGAAGTAGCCAACTTACCTTGATGAGTGGCACGCTCATGGTGAGCGCAAGGGCGGTGAGAAATTTCCTTCGGACCAACTCGGCGGTGACTTGCTTGCAACCCTGTAATACGAACCAACAGGAACGAACAATGAGCGTGCCGTCAACTGGAATGCTAGAGGTTAAAATACAGTATACAGACTAAATCAGAATGGGTTTTCATGAGTGGGACACAGAAAAATCTCACCTTCGGATGTGATCCCAGCAATCAAAATGGGTGAATATACTTCGAAGTAAACCGTGACTCAGGTTAGAATTGCGTATCGTAATCCAAAAAAATAAGACGGAAAGTCCAAAAATCAACAATGAACAAGAATAGCCATTTACAGTTTATATGTGTTCCGTCAGTGAGGCCAAGTCTATTTGCGCATATTTGCAGACTGGCAAACGATTCTTCGGGAAAGTAGCTAGTTTACGGTAGCAAGAATATTTTCTATCCGAGATTCAAACCATTGCAGTGATCGGTGGACTTAAAAACTTCGACGGACAGATAAGTGGTTAAGTAGGCAATGTATTTACTCACTCGGTAGTAGCAGGCGAAGTTGTCTATTGGGCAGTGAGTGACCCTATGTGAACAGAGCATCGTAATCCGAACAGATATAATAAGCACAACAAGTGACGTAGAAACGGAAAAATGCACTTCAGTGAGGTTGAAGATGATGGGAGAACAGGTGATTAAGGATAGGGGAAGAAATGTAAAGCGTCACCAACTTGGCAACTGATAATGACGGATAACATCTCAAAGAAGTGGTCTTAATGCGGCTGCCAGAGAGGACAAAACGCAAGAGCTAAGTTCAATCGAGTACATTATGCCACCAATGACCACTCTATCAGACACATCTATGGCAAACGGTCTGCAAAAAGGAAGACGACGAAAAGAGTGCTACCTGAGTCAAATAAAGTTAAAATAAGATTTGTCTACTCTTATGGGCGCACTTTCAGGATAGCACATTTATACTGAAGAGTATAACACACAGCATCAATGAGAAAATAAGTTATCGGCAGTAAAACGGAAAAGGCGCATTTCCGAGCAAACATACCATCACGCAAGTGGTATTTCATTACTGATCCGTCGCAACGAGACTGGACCTTACCGTAGTTCGATGGTTTGTGCACCTCCTTGACAAATACAGCTAAACTGGGTGGTGCCTCCAGGCCCCTTGATAACCACTCATGGAAGGCTGGTGAGTGGTTAGAGGTCAGATAAACTCAATCTCCGGGTCCTCCAGGTTCGAAACGGAATGACATCCAGTTCTGTACAACAAAGCATTGCCACCTCCACGTTGCCTTGTGGACAGATTTTTGAGCCAAAGGCTTTGATTGAAAACCCTAATCGTCCTCCTGTTTAGGTCTAGGCATACTGGCAGTATCTCAGCCCACATATAACCTTGACTTTTCCTTCAAACACAAACTTCATCCCGTATCGGCCGTCGCGCAGATTATCAAGGATCGCCTTATCTGCTGCATACAGCAGGGCGATAAATCGAAAAATTGTGACTGCTCGCGATTCCCTACTTTCTTGTCCACCAGTTTAGCTTACTCCCCACCCCACCTACCTTACTGACCCTCCTTCCAAGTTTCCAAGCTTAATTGACAGTAACCGAAGCGCCACTTGAGTAGAACCAGATGCAGACACCTTTCCCCAACACTCACTGGACGTCTATCGGCAACGGTCCCTTATAAGGCCACGCTGTTCCGTTTCCGTGGCGGCGTTAAATGTTCGCACTCTAAGACAAATGGATCAACAGGCTGCACTCGCACGCACGACGGACAAACTGGGTATCCGAAACCAGGATCAATGGCCGCCAAGAGCTTACTGAATTAACTGCGCTCGGCTTGTCCTCTCGCCATTGGCAGCACGCATCCAGAGACGCTGATACAGCACTCACGGGTCAAGCTGGCATAGGTATCATTCTCAGCTCCAAGGCTGAGCCATCGTTGGTTGATTGGATTCCGGTGAACAGCCGTTTGTGTGCAGCTCGTTTGAGGACTTCAAGTAAGGTTGATTCATGAAATAGTATAAAATGTTGTTTGTTTGTGAGTTCCGCTTATCCTCCTGGCTACCGCAGTTCAAATGCTGTCAAGGACACATTCTATCACGAACTGAACACGCGACTACGCAGTGCAACTAGTTCAGATATTATAGTACTTGCAGGGGATATGAACGCACAAGTAGAGCGTCTGAGCTCTTCAGAAGCTTAGCTCCAAACGGGAGAGCTTATGGTGCGCTGAGGTTGGTAGTGACTAGATCCTGACAGATGATCTACCCACTACTGCTACTGTTACGCCATTGGCGCATGTCCTTGACGCTTCCGTGGCGACCGCTAAGTGGGCATTGGGTTATGCCCTTCCGTCCGCTATGATCCAGGACACCAAACCACATGTGCTAGACGCGCTAGCTTTCGGGTGTACATTTTATCGAAGATTTTGGCTGATGACCCGAGTGCTTCTTCTGTCAGGTGTGGGCGCCCTGCTAGTATCCTAGTCTATCCTCTTCGGAGGTTAGGAAGTGGTCGATGGCCCACTTCCCGTAAAACCTAGCCATGGGAGTCAACAGGTCTACGGGTTAAAAACTCATAGATCGATTGGCGTAGAGCACAAGCGCCACGCACTGTTTCTGGCGGTGAGGACACCTCCAGGTGCTCAATGGGTTTCTACTGCCCGCCTCAAGCCAGGCAGCCCCCGGTCAAATTGATGCAAACCCGCCAAAACCATCCTGCCTCTGGCCTTGGTCACAGGTGCGTATACTGCTACGGTGGCAAAACAAAAAGAAATCGTTCCCGCACCTAAAAAGCTGCGTGTGACGGACCTCAAGCAGATCCCAATCTATCACTGCAATCACATTCCCGAGCTGGATCTGCTCCCCACTGCCTTGTGGGTCAGGATATTGAGCCAAAGGCTCCGGGTGGAGTCCCTAAAGCAAACCTTGGAAGCACAACCGTCACCACGCGGGTGATTGACCAGCAATGCAGTCGTATGCCTGCACACAAAGCACTCAGTATCGGGTGTTGAAACGTGCGCTCACTACTGGACCGGAACTCAAGTCAGCGATCTGAGGGACACACTGCACTTACTGCAATGGAAATGGCACGCTGCCACATCGATATTGCAGCGCTCAGTGAGACTCAAGTCGCTGAGCAAGGTAGATAAAATAAAGCAGGTGCTGGATACAAATTCTGGTGGGTAGGCAACGTCGCCTCAGCACCACCTGAACATGCGGCCGAATTTGCAATATCCGATCGCCTAAATGGCCAGCTGGTGGGTGAACCAACAAGCATCAGCGCGCGACTGATGACTGTTCGCCTACCACTCGGAAGAGGTAAGTTTGCTACTTTTATAAGCATGTACGGTCCGACCATGTCTTACCCTGATGATACGCGTGATCAATACTACACTCAGTTATCCTCCGTGACACGGTCTGTGCCGAGGAGCGACCGACTATTTCTACTGGGTGATTTCAACGCGTGCGCTGGGCGCAAAGCATTGGTGTGGGCAGATGTCATCGGTCCGCATGGCATTGGTTCAGCGAATGCGAACGGTGACAGGCTGCTCTCACTGTGTACCACTCATGGCCTGACAATCACGAACACTCGGTTTGCACTGAGTGCGAGTGACAAAGCGAATTGGAAGCACATACGGAATGGTCACGCCCACCTGCTTGACTATGTCATCGTACGTCAGCGTGACATGCGTGAAGTGCGCATGACACGTGTACTGCGTGAAGCTGAGTATGGCACTGATCACAAATTGGTGCGAACCAAACTGTACAAATATTTTCGTAACTAGAAGTATTGCACTCCCGCCGTGAATCGGCGTAAATATAACATTCTCTCCCTCGGTACTGTGGCGAAACGTACTGAGCTGGAGAAGGCGATGGCTGCACGCTTGTGTGATGTGGAATGCATAGCCACACTGGGCGGTCTGTGGCACCACATTCGCGACCAGGTCACAGCTGCTGCCGAAGAGACCATCGAGCGCGCAAACTGTAAGCGACCTGATTGGTTTGATGAGAACAATGCGACCATTGGCGCATTGATATCGGCGAAGAACTCAGCATTTGCGGCACGTGTCGCAGACTCCAGTGACTCAGGGAAGAATAGTCAGTTCCGCAAACTTCGACGGCGACTGACCCGAGAGCACCGTCTCAGTGAAAATGCATGCTGGATGGAGAAGGCGAAGCAGATGGAATGCCACACCGAACGCTGCCAACACAAGGAATTCTTTGACTCCTTGAAGTCAGTGTATGGACCGGAGTTGGACCCGCTGAGGACGCCGATAAATGGTACCTCAGGCGCTACCTGCACACAGACTGCTGGCGTAATGCAGATCTGGCAAAAACACTTTGACTGTCTCATGAAAAACCGTTGAGAGATTGATCGGCCTGTATTGAACGGCCTGAAGCAGCAGGAGGCCAACACTGGATGAGACGCAGAGAGCACTTGCTCAGCTGCGAAACGGCAAGTGTACCGGTGCCGACAAGAGCCCGTCTGAATTATTGAAACAGAGCGGACTTGCGTTGGTGACTGCACTGCACCACATGTGGATTGAAAAAGAGGTGTCTCCAGAGCTGAAGGATGCCCTTGGGGTACCACTGTACAAGGGCAAAGGGAGCAAGCAATGCTGCACGAATTATCGTGGCATCAACTTGCTGAGTTGTGTAGGCAAGGTAATTGCCCGAACCCTGCTCAACCACCTCGTCAGTCAGGTTGTGGAACCGAACGTGACGGAAGAGAAATGTGGATACCGTTCGGGTCACAGCAACATAGATATAGTGTTTGCGACTGGTCAGTTGCAGAAGTGCAGAGAACCACACTAGCCGTTGTACTCGCTGCTTGTTAATTTCACCAAAGCATTTGATACGGTGAACCGCGAGGCGTTATGGCTGGTGTTGGGTAAGTTTGGCTGTCCTCGTGTTTGTAAGTTTAATTGAACGTTTGCACAGTGGTACACGGGCAAGGGTGAAGGTGAGTGGCGAGACATTGGATGACTTTGCAGTTATCCCTGGAGTGAAGCAACACTGTGTCTAAGCTCCTGACCTGTTTAATATTTATGTCTATTATTTA